AGACGTACGGAGCTCTGCTTTGTGCCGCACACACACCTCTCCCCCCAGCTCCGCCTCAGCACAGACCCATCTTAAAAACGGTATAACAGCAAGTGGGGGAAAATAAATCCATAATTGACTGTCATGTCAGGGGGGCAGTGTATTTCTTTGGAACTGGAGCATGGAAAACAGTTCCCTTGACGGACAGCACAAACCAACAGTAGCAATGAGAGACGGTGACTCACTGGTGTGTGTGTGTGTGTGTGTGTGTGTGCTGCTCCTTCAAATGCCTTTACCAGCTTGAAGAGAGAGCACACTGAGGTAATATGGGCTGGGCTGGTTAGTGCACTCTGCAGAGAAGATGCAGACATGCAGAGAAAATTTCCAAATGTCAGCACACAAAGCCAAGACGTGAATATAAGCGGGTGCATTCATTCTTTGAGGTTTCATCAATTTCACCTCTTTTTTTTCCTTTTTTGGTTTACCTCAGTGACGTCAAGAGCTTAATTGATAAAGATGAATCATAGAGACCTTTTCCGAACACCCGTCGCAAACAAGCATGGTGGGAAAAAAAAAAACATGGAAACATTTGACTATGGAATCTGTGTGGTTAGGACAGGTGCCATGATTTGTGAATCCTTATATGTCGGAAGCAGTGGGCTTTCAAAAGAGCATTTCATCAGTACATGGTGAAAACAGGCCATTTGGCCCGTCTTAGCACACCATCACCATGTCCACTTTGGTCCTGAAGGATCCCAGAGACCCTGGCTCCACTGCAAACCCTGGTATGGCATTACAGCTCTGGACAAGGAAGCACTTTGAAGAACTCCCAAGTGTCAGTGTGAAATTTACTTAAAGTAATTCACGCAAAAAACCTTACTTTTCATTACCATCACCACTGTTGTAAAAGGCTTGTTTGCAGTTTGCAGTATTTGGGACTGACTTCCTAAGCACAAGAAAATAAAGACAGATGGAGCAATAGGATGGGCAGTTGCCAGAATGGATCTACAGACCAGACTATTTGGAGCTTTGACCCAGCACTGATATAATCCAAGCTGTTCCTGCAGCATCTGCCACACAGTTAGAGGTGAAAAGGAAAGATCTAGTCACGCTTCATGTTAGATGACGCGAGATGATGTTTGCACAATATTATCACGCGTGAGCCGTGCAGCAAACCCGATTTAGCCATCCTTACAGGCACAAAGCTCTATAACAACACTGAAACACAGAGGCACCATCTATCATCTTCCAGTCAAGGGCCTTTTAAAAAAAAGGTGCCCCTTTTGAATTTTTGCCTCCACTGGTTGTGTGCTCAGACATTGAACAATGTAGCTCTTCTGGAACAACTGCAGATGAGCAATTCAGTAGATCCTGTTTTTTTTTTTTTTCCCCCCAGAGTCACAACATCAGAATGCGCCCACAGCAAAGGTTTGGTGATGTGGAGTAGCTGTCAGAGGGCCGGGCTTTTAGCCTGAAGGGCCGCTGCTGCTGCTGCTGCTGGCTGTAATGAAATATAGGAGAAAACACACGCTCATCTGCCGCTAGTGTGGCAGGCATAGGACAGAAATAGAGATCAGGAGAGAGAGTGCTGCACATTGCTCTAACACTCCTGCGCCCCCCAATCAAATCCTCAATTAAGGTTTCACTGTCTCAGCAATCTGGATCAGGAAATCCTCAGCGGTGGAACGTGTAATAAGTGTGTAAAGAAACACACAGGCTACGCCAGCCTGGATGAGAGTGTCTGCTACACGCGCTGGGTGCTGCCTGTGCTTTGCCAAGGCTGCAGCCTATTTGTAAGACGGATTGAAACACGGTTATTTACGATGAATGAGCGCGCAGCTCTGACTCTTACAAAGTGTTGGACATGAGCGGGGGAGGGGGGGTTGGGGGGACATCAGAGTGTTTCATCCAAGGGCAAACAGGGGTCATCTAAAGCAATCTGGGGAGGGTGATGAATGGGACCAATAATTGAAGCTGAGCTTGTATATAACTCCTGTAATGGGTGTGAAAATCCTGGATACGCAAACATTGAAAAGCACACCGAGGGCATCTGTTTGTTGGTGTCATTTATAATGCATCGTGATGTATTATGCATGTGTTTACATCCACACTACATACTCTTAACTATACATATTTAATAGCTACATGCAATACAGGGAGCGATATCTTCTCACATGTGCAACAGCAGCAGTGCTGTGTGCTCTCTGACAGCACATAACATGATTGAATCGGGATCTAATAATAGTGGAGAGGTTTCTTCCCCTCCCACTCACAGACACAATCATGCGCACACACACACACACACATATACACACACTCATGTGCACACATACACACGTGCGACACACACGTGCACACCCACACATGCACACACAAAATTACACACCGAGGATTAAAAAGTCTGTGTGAAGCGGGGAATAAAAAGAAGGAGGGCAGCAGGGATATTGCCAGCCATGGCTCCTGGCAGCCAGCAGGTGCAGCTGACAGCTCCTCTGTTTTTACTGTTTCTCAAGCTCTGTGCTGAGTCCTTTTCCAGTGCACCACAAGGAAACTCTCACAGCCAAGAAGGACAATGTTGGAGGTAAAAGAGAAAGGCATCGTAAACTCTACTGAATCAAACTTTCATTTTATCCACACTGACAAACTCTGTAGGGATGAAATGTGGCTATTTGACACTGGGGAATATTAAAAACCAGGTCCTCTGCCTGGCTTCTTCCCCAGACCCTATTCAGCTCCAGCCAAAGTGCTTTCTCGTCTCCATTTATTCTAACACTCTAACGTTGCTGTCCTTGACATTAAATGAAGAGCTTCAGTCTGTGTGGCAGGAATGCCTGAGTGCATCTGTTAGGGAAAAAAACCTAGAATGAAGGAAAAGAAGCAGCAACAGCACTAAGGGGAAAATTTTTAGCGAGGCCATCATTATCTTTCTGTACCTCATGTATTAAAGTACTGTGATTCTCTAAGAGGGATCCTCTGCATATAAAGAGATGGGGTCTGGAATTATGGGTGTCAGATCCCAGCTCCACGCTTCAGCTAGACTTAAAAATGTGGGAATCACATGCCTGTCCGCCGCCAGAAAAATCCCACCTGTGGATGGTGAAAGCCTTTTACAAACACTAAAGAAAAAGCTGTCCATCAGGAGAGAAGCCCCCTTCCCTGGGGCCCTGATGCCCACGAGAGCGGCTGGAGTCGGCTGTGTTCCGTCCTCAATGAGTTAATACTACAGCAGTGAGAGGAGCCAGCGGCCAATCAGAAACAGGAGGAAGGTACACACCCCCTCTGTGTCCAATCGCTGCGAGACCTTGCAAAATTGCTCAGAGATCTCAGATCTCATTTTGTCAGCTCCCAGAAGGACTCCTTTGATACAATGGACTTAATGGCACAGAGGCCTAGGCAGTCCTCTGGGTTTAAAAAAACACAATATGTATGTCTCTCCACATGCACATATCTCTTTCACTTTCACCAGGACCTTATCTGTGAAGTCCTTTTTTGTAAATGCAGGGCTCCATGCGCTGTGAACATTTCAATAAAAGTAAGCAAAGTGTACAGTAAGAGACAGAAATGGGGTGATGTAGTGGCTCAGGGAGCGTGAAAGAAGCCCAGGCCTGCTTTTCAGCCACAAAAGGGATCTGAATAAAATCAACCACAATCAGACCAAACCAACTTGGACGAGGGCGCAACGGCTTAAATTGGAGTAAGGCTGACTCAAATTGGAAACCTATGAGCAGTAAACAGGCTCATGCATAGCAGACTTTAGAAATGCTACCGCTAACTGTAACTGGCTTTTATTCGTCATTTCATGCATGTTAAACAGCATGTTAGCGGCACTGCCTGCATCCTCTGCACTGAGGCTTCAGCACAGTATCCAAATGTATGAGCACAAATGTTTGCTTAGAGGAGGCATCTCTTAGGGAAGGGAGCACTGGAGAGATTACAGCAAGACCCCAATGCATTTCAATGAAGACATACATTATGCATTGGACAGACTAATGAACAGGACAGGCAAATCTCCTTTCTTCTCCGTGCAGGTCAATCAACATTCAGGAGAAACAAGAACACTCACTGCAGAGACGGCAAAAATTTTAGCTCTACTAATATAAAAACGAAGATCAGATCAGAGCCAACATCAGGGAATATGGCTATTAGTTAGCAATACGCCTATGTCTGATTGATCACATATTACAAAGGATTCAGGAGACAGACTTACAAATAACAGTAATAATACTAACACTACCACTGATGATATTAAAAATGGCTACCATACTACTTCTGCTGCTACCTTCCTTCTGATTCTTTCCCCTGACTGAACAGTACTGCCTGAAGCAGAGGGAGAGGAGAGAAACAGCACCCCCCCCCCCAACAGAGAAGCACCGCTGTAACTATCTCTTGATCATATTTCATCAAGGACTGTCAGCGCACACAGCACAGTACACTGGAAATCATATGCAACTAGGGCACCCATTTGCAGTTTGGATACCTTCAGAATCAGAAACCAAAGATGGCTCCATTTGCACAGACTTGCACAAAGGTGTCTTATTAGTGCACACAATCTTTGGAGAATGCATGCTTTATTTTACATTTCTTTCATTATTCTCCATGTAATTCTTTGTTCCTTATGTGGTAAGCGTAAAACTTCTTTTCCTTTTTAACCATGAAAACCCCATTTATTATGAGGAGCTTGTTACCAGAGGTGAATTTCACAGGACTAACTTATTATGTCTCACAGCCCTGTTTGTGGGAGCATTTGGTAAGCGAAGGGCTGTGCAAACGAGGAACAACAGCGCCATCTGCTGTATTTAATTACAAGCTACAACAAAATGGAGAGAGAACGCCCCAGCACCAAAATGTCACTGCAAGGTCTGCATTCATTCAAAGATACATCCAAGACTATTCTTTCTCATTCATTTAAGCTCTTAAAGTCAGTTTTATAGTTTTCATATTAATATTTACTTAATCTGCTGGAAGGATTGTGAAGTACAAACCAAGAATCATTGCTTCACTTAGTCTTATGTGTTAAGGACTGCAGTGTGGCGTAGTGGTAAGGCACAGGCCTTATGACCAAAAGGTTGCTGGTTCAACTCCCTGCTAGGGCAGTGCTTTTGTATGCTTGATCAAGGTACTTAACCCACAATTGCCTTAATAAATATCCAGCTGTATAAATGGATAAAATTGTAGCCTACTGTATGCAAGTTGCCCTGGATAACAGCTTCTGCTAAACAACAATAGTGTAATGTAATGTCTTACAATGACAGGAGAATAAAAGCAAATGAATACCAAGCAGTGACCAAAACATATCAGTAAAAGGACAGTAATCGGGATCATCAGTAAGAGGTAAAAGGTATCACAGTCAGAGCCTATTCCACCATGAGAAAAAACTTACAGTGAAGTCCATTGATAGTTTCTATTTCTTCATCTTTTCAAAGTAAAGGCCTTAATTTTTCAAGCAGCAATTAAGTAGGGTTAATATTTTCAACAAGAGCAGCCCTTCAGAGTCTTTACTGGACAGCTGAAAATATTTTAATATGAAGAGTTCAACACGCAAGAAAAAAGACAGTCCTATGCCCTTCAATAATGAGATGAAAAAACTGGTGAAGCAAATGTTTAGTGAAGGCTGAGAGGTCATAGGTTGCACAGGCCACCACTCCATGCTTCTTGTCACTGCCAGGAAGGCACACCTCACAGAACAGAAGCCCGAGAGCTATTTATCTTGCCATGCTTCTCCATCCTCCGTTTTAACATCAGTTCACCACCTCCTGCGCTAATGGGTTCATTCAGGGGGAAGCCATCCTCTTACTCCCATTGTGCATTGTGAGGCCTAGTTACGTCACGCTGAAAATCCCCAAGCTATGATTGAATTAAGTGTGATCACGTAAGCCAAGCAGCTGGGACAAGACTTTTGGTAGCTTCTGTGAGGGTGTGACAGCTGAGCCCTGACCTGAGTAAGGCTTCTATGGCTCAAGTGCTACTGTTTGACCTCTGTGGAGGATGGTGAGGGTGGAGGAGGCCAAAGGCCTGCAGAGTGAATTGTTTTTGGCCTTTTTCTCATTTTCACTCCTTTCCAGCTGAAACAAAAAGAAATCAGGAAGTCTACACTAGCAGATTTGGGTGGTTGAAGGTTAAAAACTCCAGATATGACCTTGTAGAAATACATCCACTTGGGGTTGAAAAGACTATCTACAGTATGCCGTTGCGATCTCAGATTCCACATCCCGGGTGAAAATGCTCCTTATCTACCAAGGTCTCTCCTGTCCAGCCCAATCAATGGCAATCTGAGAAAAGAATAAACACCGCCTTCTAGATAAGGGAAAAAAAAACAAGAATATCGCACTCTTGGAATAATCCATTTCAAGACACAATGTCAGGTGGACTGATTGCGGTTCACATGTGACAAAAGATGACGAATCGGTGTTCAGCCATCACATTGGAATTTGCTGTCGCTGGGAAAGAGGGCAGCTTAATCACAACCGGCTTTCAAATTCTCTCCTGAATGACATCACTATTTCTCTCCCTACTTCTGTCAATGGCTTTCCATCCCGGAGCGTGGATGAGGTATGGGGAGCTGGCCATGACCCAGTTGCTTCAAGCGACAAATTGGGTCATTCATCGCGTCCCGGGAGTAAAGTGATAGTTATAAACAGACTGTCGTGGCTGCCGTCGCTGTAATAAAGCCGCCGCACCGCTTCAACCTGCCCGCTCTGCAAAATGAATAATCGAGCTGCACAGATGTTCACCAATGCATTTCCACTGGTGACTAATATTTCACAGACTGCAGAGCATCTTGACCGAGCTGGAAAGACATCTCTGAGCAATGAGACTAAAACACAGACCATTCCTCAGGGCTGTCCATCAAAAATCTAATCAGATTATTACTCCTATATGTCAAAATTCAGTCTGCCTTTAAAAAGCAGCACTGTGAGAAATTGCTCATTAGCGTGGTTTTCCAGATTGCAGTAAAATCCACATTTGAACAATTATTTTCTCCATGCATTACTTGTGGTTTAATAACATGAGGGCATTACCAGTGGTTAACGCTCAAGCTCATGGTCATCACCTAACAAAAGGTTAACAAAAGGAGAGCCCACCTCCCACTCATGTGTGCATGAACATGTGTACGCATGAACTCCCACACACACACACACACACACACACACACACACACACACACACACACACACACACACACACACACACACACTCCTGGCTCCATCAAGTTCCACATGAGGAGGGTAGAAGAGAGCTCACTGGTCTAGCAGATTTCCTAGAGGTTGTCCGAAGGCCACAAGACTCCTGAGCACGTGGTTCCCTCTGACTGGACAGCACTGTTGACCATAGGACCAAGACCTGGATTACGCATGTGTGAACACGGATGCCGGCACAGTCTGTGGACAAGGCAGGGAGACAGGGTCAGAGGTCAAAGGGATGAGCCAACATCATCCATGAAGTCAGATTACAGGAAAGAGATTGTGGGAAGAGGGTCATTCATCCAGGTCCTCCTAATACACTAGACAAGAATGACATGTATTTAAATAAATAATAAATATATTTAATATAAATATTGTACATCAATATAAAATATTAATTAAATAATATATTTAATTAATTAAAGAATGCTTTGTTTCTTTATTTGACATGAAACTTTGCTCCTCACTCTGTACTCAAAAACTATTCTGCGAAAATCCAGTGAGGGCCCTTGTACTCTCCTCCAAGGTCAGAGCTCAGCAATATTACTCTCTCGGTTTAGTTACAGTGGTCTGTGCCATTTACTGCTATGGCCGTCAGCGGTTCCGGAGGGGGAATTGTGCGCAGGAGAGGCGAACAGTTTTACGGCAGCATTTAATGCTGGCAGTGAGAGTGAGCTATGGGGCTGGGGCTCCAATGCGGTGGGGACATGGAGGGGGCGCATCACAGCCTGCACTGGAGTGCAGAGCACCCGAATGAGGCAGAGGAGGAGCTGCAGTCCTGCAGCATGGAGGAGGTCAGAGAGGACAGGACCGAGAGAGAAGACAGAGGCAAGGAAGACGAGACACAGGACAAATGAAATGGTGAATGAAGGGAGACTGTTTTCCCTTACCGTGGACTTGGGCATGGAGTTAGTCATTCTTAATAGGACAACAAAAATAGTCATGACAATAATTTCAGTTTCATCACAAGCTCAATTTTCTCCAAAAACTTTATCCAATTTTACATAGACAGTGGCCCTGAGCCAGTGTATGTCTTGCAAGGGAAAGCAGAGTCCATTTCATTAAACATCTCTGTTTACACGCGATGTACATTGTAACACAATCATGTGTATGTTTCTTCATTTTGCAGTAAAGTAAATACGGAAGCCATCAAACACACTGCCCAAATGTTTTGAATCACGTAGATACACTAACAATCAAATGTGGAAAAGAGTTACCTACCGAAGATGATTACAATATACATAGGGAAACTAGTGTATTTACATGGAATTACAGGCAGTTTTTCAGCCGTTTCAACAATAGCAGGTGTTTTAGAGAAAACGTGTCAATGAAACGTGAACTTCGAACGGAACATGACGCAAATTATCTCAAAAGACTGCTCTTAGCATTGGTAACATCTTTGTAATTGCATTTACTGCTCCAACATTATGTACAGCTCGTCCTACAACGGGGCAGACTTCCTTACCTGTATACGTGCCTTCACAACAGACAGGGATGGTACTCGCAGCTTAAGCAAATCGTTAAGCATTCAAGTAAAGCTTAGTTACATCTTAAAACTTAGCCAGCGGCGAAATCTTCAGTTAAAATAAGTCATACTAGGGAGACACCTTGAGGAATGTGCGATTTTGTTTCTTTCTCTTGACAAACATGTTTCCAATTGACTTTTTAACGTGGTGTGGCTTCCTTCCCGAAAATTACAACAGCAACTGAGGACTCTTGGCAAGGTTGCTGGATTCTCCTTGCGGCGTACCCCGGACACGGTAGTCTAATATTCATTCCACTTAAACTCTGAAGCCAGGGGCTTGTTTGTGAAGATGCTCATCTTGGCTTCATCGTTGTTTTTTGTAAAATGTGGGTGTTAAACCTTTACTTTTTCAAATCTGAAGAGTCCATTTAAAGGATTTAAGGCCGACTTGGCGCTCGACTGTTATAAATTAATCGTATTTAAACAACCCCGTGTGCGTACACATGACGTCATGCAGTGCGCTTAACGGTAACTGATGGGCGGATACAAATGTAGCTTCAGCTCTTTGGATCTTCAGACTGGACGTCGTTATTGCAATTCATGCATGCAAGAATCAAAAATGTATAGGTTCAGGTGCGCAAAATTATTTGAACCTCTTTACCAAATCATGTGTTGCTTACTTAACCTCTTTTCCCTTTCCACCTGTACTATCTAATCGTAACCCTACTCACCAACGGCTTTAAGGTCAGACAAGCCACTGGAGACCAAAGAAGATTACACTCATCCTCACCTGGAAACTCATTCATAGGATTAGAAAGGTCACCTACTAGGGGCATTGGAGGCAGACATTTGGCCAGTCATGCAAAAATCAGCAAACGTTTTGTTTTGCTGTGGTTAGCAAGTACCTAGAATACATCTTAAAAAGAGATACTGGTTGTAAGACCTAAACCTGAAGCCTGACAGAAGTCTTCACCTGATGTATGGATCTTTCCCTACCATTGGATCAAGGCAGTTTGAGTGAAATGAGTTAAAGGAACATGAAACAGATTTAGCATGTCTTACACATGTGCACTTTATTGGATTTGTATTAGTCAGTGTACAGATTGGCCCCACCATTACGTCTGGCACCGCCACTTTCCATACGGCTTGTACATATGCCCAGGGGGATGTAAACCTTTATGTTTTTGTATAAAGGTAAAGCTGTTTTGCATAAAAAAAAAAAAAAAAACCAGGACCAAGAATTTAAGGCTGAAAGTACAAAAACCCAGACATTGTTTTCGGTTACATAATTTACATAAGCAATACTACAACAAAGTTAAGTATCTGCTCCCAAACACTGGGCAGCCTTCATAGAGGCAAATAAGTTTCTGAACAATGCATTTAACATTTAACATTTGGAATGACTAAAAAGGAAAAAAAAAAATGTACATTTTAAAGTCCTCAGATGC